AAAAAAAAAAAATGCAGTGTGTTTTGGAACAATAAAATTTCGAGTACAATCAATTAGATCAAAAGTGCTTTTTTCTTGTCTTTGTTTATTTGTAACATATCAATTTTGAAATGAGCTCCTTTCGTTGTTTTCGTGTAACTGGAAGATTGCCAGTGAAAAATTTCATTTTGCGGGAAGGAAACCAATGATAAAGGAAACTTTGCTATTGTCAGTAAAATGCTTCTAAAAAATCTTCGATCTTGCATTTTTATCTTTCATGATGATTGTCGCCTGTTCAGCTGGCACATTGGTTTTTACTTCATGGTTGTTTGTGACTAGAATACTGCAGAGATTTAAGATGAGTGTGGAAGGTGCGGTAGCATTAGAACTGTGAAGCCGTTGAATTAGAGAGTTGGAGGTGCCTAGTAAATTCGTTTCCATCTGCGATTGCAGTGTAATTTTTAACAGCTTAACTTAAATTTCAAGAATCCCGTTTTGTATCGTCAAATAGTGATTTCGATGATGAATATGTCTGATTTTCGAAAGCTCGTTTAATGGCCGTTGAAACTGTTTGTAGGTTAGGACTGTCTTGACATCGTTAAAATGGACATAGAAGATGAAGATGGTATGGAAAGTTTTGAAATCGATGACCGTGACATTGAGTATGCACTAAATCCAAATGCACGACGGGGGTTGTCAAAAAACCAGCAGCTCTATGGTAAGCTTTTCCACTTTTTTTTTTACACGAAAACTGAGGACGCTTGTTACAAAGGCAAAGAGGAGAGGTTAGATTTAGTCCTTTTGTCTGATCGTTGTGGTTAGAAGTTTTATCATTTATGTTTCTGTGTGAAATAGCGAATGTTTTTTGACGTGAAAAATAGTTACTGCTGTTATTGATAATTAAATATTTCAGGCATATGGGCTGAAAGAGAGGATGATGATGAAGAGGAGCTGCACGCCGGATTTGGATCTTTTGGTTCGCGTAAGAAAAACAAAAATTATTCCGCTCCTGTCAGCTTCGTCAGTGGAGGCATCAAACATGGTCAAAAGATAGAGAAAGAAGTAATTTTTAACAAGTTTTCTCACGCTTCTAAATTAATAATTTTTGCACTTCAAGATCATGTTTTTTAAATTGTTAAGCGGTGTTCTTACGCTGTTGTAGGATGAAGGTGAAGAAGAGAGCAAGGCAGCACCTCGTTTTGAAAAACGAAGGCGGGTGGAACATCGAGAAGTTGGAGGTAATGTATTTGCTGGAATGAGGACTTCGTACGTGCTTTTATCACCTTTCATGTTTATAAGCTTAAAGTTGCTCATCTACATTCGCTATCTAAGTTTTTCAAGGCGATTTATACGCAATAGTCTCACAGAGAGATTTTTATATTACCCTTCAAAGTGAAGGGCCAGGAAAGGAGGGTTCAGAAAACATGTACTAGGATACAGGGATTTCTTTTGAGCTTTCCTGTATTGAATAAATGATTCATTGATTAACTGGCTCTTGATCTTCATTGCTGACTGTAGGTCTTTATTCTTTTTTTTTTAGGGCGTATCATGCAGCCGTAGATCCTGACAAATTTGCTGATTGGACCAAGTATTCAAAAAGCGATGTCATTATGAAGATGATGACGAATATGGGTTTTGTGCCTGGCCAAGGTTTAGGGGCGAAGAAACAGGGTATCATTGAGCCAGTTCAAGCAGTAGTGCGGCCAGGTCGAGCCGCTGTTGGTGCGTATGGCAAAGAAGCAAAAGGACCAAAATACGGAGGTTTATTTTCAGTCAATCCATGCTTTGCAGTTAGGAGATTATCTAATACTATTTATTTTGTAAACTCTTGCTTGAAATCGCATTTGCTACTGGCTTTAAATTACTCCCACCTTTACCGTAATTTCTACCACGATTTCATTCTAATAATTTAAAATAATTCAACCCAAGAGTAAAATCTCTACTTTTGCTGTGTATCTGTATACTTTTAGAATCTGCCGCAGATACGCAGAAAAGACTGGAAAACGAGGATGGTAATAAAGCCCCCAAAAAAGGATCTTCTCGACGCGACAATTGGAAGAAATCTGATGTCGCAAAACCTCCAGCGTACCAGTATAAAACGATCGATGAGGTTATTTCTGAAGGCGGTGTAACGAAAAAGCGTTTGGAGTCATTTGGAACTGGCGTAAAGGTTAGAACAAACACTACTTTTTATTGAGGAATTTATGATATGAATATTAATTTATTGAATAAGGTGCTTTCTGTTTTAGGTGATAGATATGACTGGGAAAGAACAGAAAGTTTATTCTGGCTACGACGCTTTCGCGGCAAAAACTAGGTCTATCATGTCTTAAAAATTTTTTCTGCTTTGTATTTTTCAATTCAAAAAGATTTTATTTGTATGCAGTTTTGAGTCAGTTTTTTATTGGTTTTTTTTCTGTAAGTCCCAAACGTATTGATTTTTACCTACAGAGCAGTAGCTGAAGCGGAAGACGAGCACTTAGCTTTTGATATCCCAGAACTTGGATACAATATTAGTATGCTGCTCGAGTTTACAGAAGACACTATTCGACGAAGTGATAGGCAATTGAAATTTCTCAAGGTTTTTAATACTTAGAAATTTTTCACAGTGATTTTTCGCTTGGGCAGTCAGCTTTTGACGAATTAAAACGGTATGGAGTTTGAGTGTTTTGTAGGATCAAACCATCTCAATGGAGAACGACTGCAAGGAACTTACTAGTACACTAAATAAAGAGAGAGCTGAACAAAACCGTATGAAGGAGGTTCTTAGTTTGTTGGAAAAGTTAGTTTTTTGCAATCTGAGTATTTATTTCTTTCATCTTTTTTCAGGTCATGTGTTTTTATTTGGCCTTTTTTATGATTCATTAGTCTGAAAACTTAACGATTTATTTGTGTTTTTTATCGTTTTATTGTTTCTTTGTGTAAAAGGTTTTAGAAATATTCATTTTACCATCTCAGTTCTTAAAAATGCTTAGTTTAATATTTTTAGGTTTTCTGAACAGCTAGATTGTGAAGAATTGACGCTGGAAAAATGTCGAGGTTTATTCAATAAAATGCAAAAAGATTACTTTGAAGAATACCGATTGTTTGGATTAGATGCCGTTGCGGTTACTAGCGTTCTTCCTCTAGTTCGTTTTACAAACTTTACTTTCATCTTTTTTAAGGTGTTGCGCAATAGTATGATTTTGAACGTTTCCTAACTTACATTAAGTATCGCGAGAGGATGATATTTATGGGGGTTTTTTTGTTTTTTATGCATTACGCTGCTGAATCGAGGATTTCTGGAATTATACATGAAAATATTAAATGTGCAGTAATGGATGAATAATTAGTAGAATATGGTGTCATATCCGTATTATTTCAGATGAGATCAGCTTTTATAAATTTCACTTGAGATTTCAGTGCACCTGTTAGAATATTTTTTAGATTTCGAATACTGTATTTCTTTTTCCACCTTTCTATACAGTTCGAAGAGAAATGGGTGATTTTTTTTAGTGGTTTTTAAAATCTCCAAATATAGTTTGTGGTACCAGTCACCGAGGGTTATTTATTTATTCAAGTTTCACCCTGCAGTAATTCTTTTGTTAAGATTCGCAATTACTTTTCTTCTTGGGATCCACTAGATCAGAATCAAGTCGATTATGGGTATTCATTGATTTTGGAGTGGAAAAAAATATTGGACAGCGAGGAGAATTCGATGTTTAGTAAAACTAAGAGTTTAGGTTAGTCATTTAAATTCGTGACTTGTTCTTTCTGGTCGTTTTTTTACTCTTTTTGTTCTTTAACTTTGAGACGTTTTTTCAAGAAAACCTACGGCCGTTTGAAAGACTTTTGTGGGATGGATGGATGCCAAGCATGCGTAAAGCGACTTTGAAGTGGAGCCCTCGTGATGATACGTTATCAATTCTTCGAGTAGTAGAGAAGTGGTTGCCCTTGTTACCTGTTTGGATGCGTGAAAATCTGCTTGAACAGGTAAATAAACTTAAATGAGGTTTACTTATTCTACATTTTCAGCTGCTTTTTCTATCAGAGATAAGGGTTAGCTATTGGAATAATATGATGTTTCTAACATGTTAAACAGAAGCAGTAATATTTATTTGGTAAATATTTCTGGTTTTATCAAATGGATCATATTTAGGTCGTGATTCCGCGCATAGCATCTCAAGTAGATGAGTGGAATCCAATGGTGGATCATATACCTATTCATACTTGGCTTCACCCTTGGCTAGACGTTATGGGTGATAGACTTCAACCGGTTTTTTCACCAATTAGACAGAAACTTGCAAAGGCTCTTAGCAAATGGATACCAACTGATTATAGGTATTCATTGTTTTTGAAATAGAAGTTATTACTACGGGCATTTTTTGATTGCGTGTAAATTCCAGTGCTATTTCTATTTTACGACCTTGGAAGCAGTGTTTTGAACCTGCAACGATGTCGGCTTTCTTGGCAATGAATATTGTCCCGAAGTTGGAAAAGGCGTTGTGGGATATGGATTACGATCCCACGAAAAATTCGGTATTTTTAAGTGTTTAAACACTGTTTTTTCAGTCTAATTACATTCTATTTTTAGCGTTACGAAGAATTTTACGCTACTTTGATGTGGATAGAGTTACTTGGTTTGGAGACAGTTGCTTCTATATTAGTGAAAAGTTTCTTTCCGAAGGTCCACACTTTTTGTTTGATTTATCTATAGTTGTTTTTTTGTTTAGCTTTATACTTTTTCTCGTCATAGCATTTAGCATAATTTGAATAATATGGGTTTTGAAAATACTTCATTTTTTTAATCATCAATTTTAGTGGTACGAAACTTTATGCATGTGGTTGGATGCCCCACGCGTTGTCATGTCTGAAGTGGCAATCTGGTATAATGAATGGAAAGCTCGTTTCCCAGTTGAATTATCTTCTTTACACATAATACGTGGTAACTATTCTAAAGTTATTTAGTCGTTTTTATGGGTTTTATACTGAATTTAGTCTTTAAAATTTTGAATGGTTTTTTGTGGAACTTTTATTATAATAACAGAACAACTCATGCGAGCTCTGATGGCAATGAATCAAGCACAGCAGGGTATAAGGGTTTCAAGACAGCCTCCACCACCACCTCCTCCTCCTATGGAATCCATACCAGGGGTTCTAAACCCTCCCCCACCACCTCGAATGCCTCCTCCTATATCATCGCTTTCATTTAAGGTATTAATTTATCGTTATTGTTTTAGTTCCTCCAATGTTGAACACGTCGGAAATCCTACTGTTTTTCATCTGAGATTTTAGTATTTTTTGCTGTTATTCTTGAAGTGAACTTTAGCAAACGTGGTATCAACAGAAACTTTTAATGGCTAGTTCACCACCAGTTTTTAGGATTTTGTGGAGTTGAAGGCTCGTGAATCAGGAATTCTTTATGCTCCACAACCAGACAGATATCGGGAAGGAAGGCCAGTATACTTTTTCGGGAATGCCTCTATTTATATTGACCGCAACGTGATTTTTTATTACAGGCCAGAAACTCAGCACTGGGAGCCTATCAGTCTTGATTATCTCATGAGTGTGTGTTAAACTGTTAGGCTGCAAATTATTTTAACTTATTATTACTGGTTATTCAGTCACGGGAATAGTTCTTTCAGTGCATCCTCATTGTTTATAACATTTCAGTCACTTTAGGACTCTTGGTCTTGTAATATCATCCACTTGTATTTATACTCTTTCATTAGTTAAACTGTAGTTACTGTGTTATGAGGGGGACTCAATTTACTTCAGTTAAAAAGTATTGTATGATTTCCGTAGGAAATTTGCGAACAGCTGATTCAAATTTTTTTCTTAAAGTGCCTATTTTCGGTACTTTCTTTAAGATAAAAAACTGTTATTGAGAAGTAAGAAGCATTTATGATTAAAGAAGGTTATCATTGGAATTAGTTTTCGCGGAATAAGAGTTCCAGATAACAGTAGGTTATTTTTGGAATCTTTGTTGAATATGCTTTGTCTATTCGTACAAATTTAAGATCTTTTGTTGTTAACTATTTCTTACTGCATTGTTATTCAGGAAGAAAGATATATATTTTATTATTCTTGAGTCTCTGTAACAGTGTGTTCAGCTCTTTGCTAGTTTTGTGTTTCGGAAGTTCTGTAGCTCCTGTAATTTACGGGATTAATGTTTTGATGTCAGAAGCGTCTTCTTTGTCAAAGTTGTTAACATTTGTAAATTTGGAAAACCTTTCAGTCAACTAAACAATTTCGCACTGACGCTTGTACAAAACTGTTCCCTTTTCAAATTGTATAAACGCACATTCCGTCACGGTGAAAGGGAAGCAGGATGAGAGGTCTAGTTTTTTGCATTATGTCTGACTGGTTGTTTTTCATTGTCGCGAGTGGTTTAGATGCCGTCATTGGTTGCTTTTAGTGAGGAGTTAATACAACCGTGTATAAGAAAATTTCACTGCACTGTTTTCGCTTCTGGATTTTTTGGTTTTTGCTGTTTTGGAGTTATTTTGGACCAGCTGGTGGAGAGGCTGAGTTACTTAATGACTTTACTACACTAACCTTCTCGATGCTAGCTAGGGTAGTGCTGTCGAGGAATGTGCTGCACAATACCTAAAGAAGGCGGCCGAGAAGTAGGTGGGGAGTTCGTTGCCATTTGCAAGTCATTTGTTACTTGTTTTTTGCGTTTTTTTTTTTCTTTTTGTCTTTTTGTCTCTCCATCTTCATTTTCTTTTTCTGTTTTGTTTTTTTTTTTCTGCGGAACCAGATAGGAGTTTTGTGGTTACAACCTTGGGAAATGTAACTGGTTGCTGGTAGGCATGAAGAAAAGTGGACAAAACTAATAAAGCAGAAAAAAAAAAGACTAGGTGTTGGTGACAAAAAAAAATTGTTCTCAACTTGGAGTCATTTACAAAATTGGTTTAACAAGAGGAGGCAAGAAGATCGGTGAATCAGTGAATAGGTGAAATGAAAAAGACAGAAAATCAAAGAATAGTAGGAGACGTTGAACTGTGATGTAGCAGTTTTTCGATTTTATCTATGCATAGTAAGCTTTGGTCGTTTTGACAAATTTTTATATTTTGGTGTTGGGGTGGTAATGTCTTAAAAAATAAATCGGTACTGGAAGATGTTTTTGGAAGGTGATTAGGTGACGATACGGAAGTAGAATCAGAAGCGTTATTGTCGCAAGTAAGTGTTCAGACGAACTATTGCGAGTGTTATGTGGTTTGTGGTTTTCAGTAGTAAATTTACTAGGCTGTTGGAGGAATATGCAGTGTTAGCGATAGTGTAATTTTTTTGGCATTTGGGACGCTAGTTTTGAAGAGGTTTAGGGCGAAACCTCGAGATTGGTGGACTACGGGATAGGTTTAGGGACTAGGTGATGGGAGAGAATGGTCTGGAAAATAGTAATGGGAAAAGAAGTGGGTTTTAAGACTGGCAGCAAAGTTACTGTAAACGCAAGACGGTTGACCAGCCTGGGGAAGAAAGAAACTGATAAATCACTGACTGCCAAAGTTTTTAATTTTTTGATGGATAATGGTTTCTGACGCTTCTATTTTTAGAAATTGGAAAGTATTTTAAAAAACTAGTAGTTTGTTAAAAGCTTTAAATTCATTCTGATGGTAGTCATGATATTGTTTTTTTTTTAAAGGTGAAGTATTTCTTCTAGTTATGCTGTAATTAGAAGCAAAAAAATGTTTTCACAAAGTTTTATAGAGTTTGAAACGTCTTAGAGTAATTCTTTTTATTGCATTACACTTTAAGCTCTGTTTAGTAGATTTATTAAAGATATCGCCAGTAATCTAAAATATTTTTTTGAACAATGCTTTAATTTGCTTCTGATAAGCGATAAAATATACTTAGCTAAAGGGAGAGAATTAATTTCTTTTTGTCTAATACCACATTTCATCTTGTCGAAATAAAAGCTGTGGTGTTGGTTTTTAAAGTGATTTGGAGATTTGGCCGTTTATCCAATGTTTTTTTCTTTCTTTTACAGCTGCATGTCTTCTGTTAAAAATAGCATTTACTGAGAAGCCAAAAAATCTAAAACTATTCTGTGTTTTTATGTTTAATTTTGACATTTTATTGCCATTTTGAGCTACAAAATCAACCTGGTAATAATTTAATCTTTACTTTCACTTTTCACAATAGCATAAAAATTCTAAGATATTATAGTTTATAACAACTAGTTAAACGAGAAACAGTGACAAATTTTGGTTGTATCAACTGACTTAGCACTGAAATAAAGAAACGGCCTTTGGCAACAAAAAGTATTTGGTGGTGAAATTCGCTGATACTACGGAAGTGGAACTGATTTAAAGAGAGTGCAGCACAAAATTTGGGAAACTGTTAACTTGTTAAGCTTTATATCACTGATGAGTTCAGAGGTTTATTAAAATGAGCAACAAAAATGAATTATGAGTAAAGAAAGGATTCTGTAAGCATTTAATTTTAAAACTTTTTTTTTTTTTTTTTTTTTTTTTTTCCATTTTTTTTTTTTTTTTTTTTTTTTTTTTTTTTTTTCAAATTTTTTTTTTTTTTTTTTTTTTTTTTTTTTTTTTTTTTTAGGTTTTTTTTTTTTTTTTTTTTTTTTTTTTTTTTTAGATTTTACAGGATCTTTTTTTGTTTGAAAAAACTTCTTTTGTTATAAAAACCGCATATTTTAAGCAGTTTTTCGTTTAGTTTAACGGGCCTTTTATTTGTTGGATGAATAAACTGTGTTAAATTGGACTATTTTACTGGTGTCGTATGCAATACAATAAATGTTACTGTTTAAAGTTAATAATGTTTTATTTGTCAACAGAGTCTAATTTTTTATAGGTAAAATAAAAGCTCTATTCAATAGTTTGAAGGATATAAAACATCAGTATCAGCTCTGCTGACAGTCCTCATTTGTAATGAGGTCATATAACAACATTGAATTTCTGAAGGATTCAATAGCACTTTGTGGATACATCAAAAAATAAAACAATTAGTTACAAATTTTTTAATCAGTAACAATTTGGCATAAATGAAAGTAACAGTTTTCTTATAATTAAGGCAGATTTGATTAATTTTCTAT